AGTGAGCGGAGTTGACAATACTGAGCGGAGATTCATTGCACGTCAGATGTCTTTCACGTGCATGATCTCCGCTGTGTCCGACTCTCTTGCTGCTTACCGCTCTCTCGCACATTCAGCTCCTCTCTCCTCCCACACCACTACAGTCCCGGAAATCACCATGAACTGTCACCCAACCACTGGGTGACACATCGACGCGCTATCGAGGGAAGTTTACACAAGTGCAGGGCGTTAGATCTTGGTTTGGGAATACTGGTGCGTTTAGCCCACAGTCTTTTGCGAACAAGCAGTCTCATTGTATCTTACAGTAGCTACATCTTTTCCATATACTACTCGTCCCTCGACAGCATCGATGAACAAGTTTTCGCACGACTCTGTGTATCCCTACCAGCGCACTCGACGTTCCCACAATCCCGGCATTTGTTGCGACACGACTTCACACCTCGACTCCCCTTCCCCGGACATTCGGAGATACCGCATTTACAACACGTCCGTCCCCGCCGCGCTTTCTTGACCGGCGGCTCTCTCTCTGACAACGCGTCTTCTACGCGGCGCTTGGCAACACCTCGGATCCGTTCGTCATGAGTTTGGGATGGGCCGGCGATGGGAGTCGGCGGATTCGGGGTCTCCGAAGCTGGAGGATGCGACATCGACTCGTTTCCGGTCGACATCGACTGGTTTCCACTCGACATGTCAGGTTGTACCGCGGACGAAGTTGTTGGCAGCGGCTGTGACTCGGACGTCACCGCTGCAGGGTCTTGGGTTTCCGGGTCGAAGGAGAGGAGACCATCGAGAACGGAATGCGGTTTGAGGGTTGTTTGAGGGACTGTTGGTGCCATGCGCATTCTTTCCTCGTCGTGGATCGTTTCGAGAAGGGGTTTCCGCACAGCGGCTGATACCGCCTTAGTCTGGATGATGTTGCTATTGGTCTTCCAGGGGCCGTTATAATACACCTTGAGATGTTCCGGAAGCTACGCGAGACTGTCAGCATCAGTATCGGCATCGAACATCAGACGTGCCTTGTAAAACACATCCTTCTCAGTTTCAGCGCGCCCGTTCCAAATCTTGGCTGCCTTCGCTGCCTGGTTATCAGACGAAAGATTGCCAAACGTCTCGGGGAAAGCAGCCATCAGATCACGAAAGAGTGTCTTCTCGATGTCGTTGTGAATTGGAGTGACAGCTTTGCGAGTGTCTTGAAGCGACGCGAGGTGGTGATGGAGACGTTTTGCATCGAGGGCTGCTTCATATGGAGCCATTCCTGCACTGGTGCGGACATCCTCAGGGATCGGGAGAACACCTGTGACTTCTGTTGCTCCTTCGTACAAGTTTCCGTTGACCCAATTGGGAAGTAGAAGCGAGGAGGCGTTCTCGATGCGATCTTCGAGGTACATGAGCAGTCCTTGAATCTCGTTTGTCAGCCATATACTGTAGTGTCCCGTATAGGCTCGGCCTGAGGTGTTGAACGTTCCGACCTTGGCAAAGTTTACATTTAGCGTGAATCATGTCGTCATTTAGAAACACCTCTTACCAAAAGATTGTGCTTCAAGATAAAGTCGCGCAGTCTCGCATTCAGATGACGAACAGACGCGCCCGAGGTCAGGAGATTCGGGCGAAGATGGGTATGCACACCACCCTCAGTCATGTTCGTTCCGCGAAAGCATCGATAGACGGGAAGATCGTCCTTGTCCCGACGAAGTTCAGAGTAAAGCGAGATGCCGGGTGGGTCAGAGACAAATCCGCGTTGGATGAGACCTAGAACATTGTTTCCTGTTGCCCAACCCGCTGAGTTGAGAAGCGGTAAACCCGTTTTCGCATCTTTCAGAGGTCCGTAAGTCTTCAACACATCGGCAGCTAGTGGATATATCTCCTCAGGGGGACCAATGATCCGCTTGCAGCGCTGAGAAAGCCAGCGCCATTTCGTTCGTCGCATGGTCTCCCAGTCGAGCGGCGGGGTTTGTTTCTTTCCCCATTCAATCAACCGTGCTTTATCGGCCGTGTCGGGAACAAAGAGGACATCTCTGAGCGCTAGTGGTATTGGCCCTGAAATAAATGATCTCATTGCAATCGGGGATCCCAAGCTCAATTCTCAACCAAATTTCTTGAAACCTGGCTTGTATGAAAGCCCTAGAGGCCCTTCATCCATTTTTCACTTGGATCCCAGGGTTGGGGGGCGGGGGCTGCGTAGCAGCCCCCAACAATCAGATCACTTTTTTTGCATCATCTCACCAGGCCGATTTTGATGAACTGGGGATCCCAAAGCCTACTTACACAACATCTTCATTTTTTTTTGCTGGGACTAGGCACATTGTATTCAAGGTCTCGAATCCCAAGTTTTGTATTTTTAGAGCCAGGGGTTGGTGCGGAAGGGAGCCATCTTCACTCTGCCGCATCAAATTTTGTGATGGGTACTGCATTGGGGATCCCGGGGCACGGAGTGCCTGGATTTTTTTGGTCAATTGAGACAAAATGTTCGGAAAAGTCCCTAATATGAATATCGCATGACGAAACTAGCCAGAACCCATTGTGGGGGAATAGGGAGCGAGAAATGGGAGCATGGTGAAAGTTGACAGGCAGCCATCAAAGTGATCAAACCTGCTGGCCTCTCAAGTCGAGGATCCATAGGCTGGAGATAGAGATTTTCACACAAAAACTCGAAAGTATGACAGGCCCTAATACCACAGATGCATTGGGCGACTCGTTTTGGGCGGATCCTCTGCTGTCCGCATGGATCCTCAAAAAGATGAAATGCAGGCCGGGCCACCAGAAGCGTGACAGTGTGACTACAACGAAACTGCGGGGTACTCATCGCCCTACTCACACATCCGACCAGGCCACCACGGCCGCCAATGAACGAGTGTGGGGTGGATGGGCCGGGGAACTTGGACTAGGGCTTGGGCAGCAGGGATCCAGGGCAAATGGGGGACGGTTACACTCAACAAGAGGGGACTACAGGTGAGTGCTCACCACGCCCGCCGACCCAGCCCCAGATCCCGAGCCAACCCTAGCGGACGCACACACCTCACCCCCGCCCCCTTGCTATGTATATTTCCCCTCCCAGATGCGATCCCGTTGCAAACGTGGATCCTGACCTCATTTCTCCACAAAATTTTACGAAAATTATATCCACATGTAGCTTAAGGTCCCCTGGACCCGGGATCCACATGGATCCATGGGTCTGAGGGGGTGGGTTATTAGAAAGTGGTCTAGGGTCGGTTCCCTAGGCCAGACCTAACCCCAGGGCTGGGTTACCCTGGGCCAGGGAAGCCCTTTAGGGTTACCCTAGCAGGGGGCACATGACTGGAAAGGTGTGGTGCCGGGTATCTTGGAGGTGACGATGCTATGTGTTGACGCAGCTCATTCAGCCTGGGAGGGGCTGGGTACACGGTGTCTTGGTGGTGACGATGTTCTGTCAGACGGTCTCATAAATTAGCATTTGCACAAGACAATTGAACCAAACTTTCCAACTTGTACAAAATGTGGTCCTACACCCAATAACTTTTGCTATATACAGCCTATGCACTAGTCCAATGCACCATGCCCATACCTGCAGTCTTGGGCGTGACGACATATTGACTGAAAAGGGTCAAAGACAAGAGTCGACTGAAAAAATGTTCGTTGGTTGCCAGAAAGCAAAACGTCGTCACGTCCAAGACACCATGTGCCCGGGTGGTGAAGTCCACATGTTTTTGAATCACATGGCTGACATGCGACCTGATCGAGTCACATCATCGTAAGCTCCGAGACACCGGGTAGCCAGGCGGTCAGGGTCATGGTCGACGCTATGAGTAGACATAGTAGCTTAGTTGGCCTGAGAGGGGCAGGGTACCAGGTGTCTTGACAGTGACGATGTTTTGAGGAGACAAGGTAGCATCATCAGTCAGAGAGGGGCTGGGTACCTGGTGTCTTGACGGTGACGATGTTTTCACTGTACAGGGTTGAATGGATCAGCATACCCAAAAAGCAGTATTTAAATCTTTCAACCTCTTCTGCTTATAACATTGTCCCTGTCAAGACACCAGCTACACACTCCCTTACATTAGCCTATTCTGAGTCGAAGACATAATGGCTGAAAGGGAGCAGGGTCAAAGCATCGGGATGGTCCCGATGCCTCATTGCCAGATGGTAAAGGGTCAGCTGTCAACCGGTCTTGGCAACAGATGACAGGCTTGATTGACAGGGCCTATGTCAAAACGTCGTGACGGCGGAGACATGCCTCTGCCATATGGTAATGGGCCTGTTTCCTGACCCCAATCCTATAATTGCAGAGCAGAGCATAAACTTTATACATATAATGGAACTGATAGTTATAGCAGGAAGGGGACAGAGAGGGAGTGTCGGAATGGTTCCAATGGTAACAACCAAGCAGGCTGCTTAACAGGGATAGGCCCAATATCAAGGGACTGGGTACAGGGTGTCTTGGGGGTCACGATGATTTCAAGGGATCTTTCACATGCATAGTGTTCCACTATCAAAAAGCAGCACCCAAATCAGTGTCACTGGAGTAGACATGACTGACCCAGTACCAGGCATCGGGACCACCACGACGAAAACAGGCACAGGCACTATCATCTAGCACCTCCGAAATCATTTCGGAGGTGCTAAATAATTGTGCCCGTGCCCGAAATCAAACATCCTAGATCACAAGTAGGTATGATTAAAAATTGGCAAGTAAAAAAATCGATTTTCGCATCGTAACAGTGCTCTCTGACATTTAGGATAGTTCCTAGGCATTATTAGAGGATATGAATCATTTTATCGTATTTTTTGCCAGGCCCAAAGGCCGAATTATCGACCGATCTTCTATCCCCTACTCAAAAATCGATGACTTGAATCTATTCACACCGTTCGTGTGGTTTTCGGTCCTGCAGCCCATTTTTGAATCAGCATTTCTATCATTCAACATCTCAAACACGTCTCAAAAAAATTCTTGGATGTACGGGGCGCTCGTTGTCAAGAACAATGTCCTCCACGGCGGTCACTAGCTGTGATGTGAGCCATGTCACATCACACTTCCTCCCTATCATATCGCCAACACCGCGCACTTCGACCACGAACTGACAGCTGCGAACTCACGGGCACCAACTCACAGCCCCGGGACAGTGGATTCGGGGGTTGGGACTTCCTGGAGGCTGGACAGATGAGGGATCGAGTCGGGTGAGAATGCAGATGGATGACACCAGGTGCGCCCTGTCTTAAGATCGGTCTTCCACTCCGCCCATTCAAAACCTCGCGCCGCAGGTCTGCCGGACCGACTGCATTGGTTTTTCCTCGGGCTTGAACGCGCGGTGTATGTGCTGCAGCGCATCGTGCCATTCGTGGTATTAGCAAACCGCGCCGCTGTACACTGACGTCAACCGCACTGATTGCACACTCGACTGCATGCTATCAACCACTTCCAATGACCGCAAACGCCGTAAGCAACCGAGGAGACGGCTCGCAGAGTGGCGGGGCGTGGGAGCTGGCTGCGCGAATGGGCGGAGCACGAGAGCGCACGGGCAGGGTTTGACAGGTGTGTTTCTCACTGTCCGCTGTTCCTCCCAGAGTCCGCCGTCTCAAGACATCGCCCCGCGTACGCACCGGAGGATTGCGCTCATTGTGCATCTTGCGATCAGATGCGGGCGCGCCTCATGTACACTCGGCGCATTTCACGGCGCTCTCCCCATTGCACCGATCGCGCGCACCCTCAACTTCCAATGGCCGACTTTCGGCGACCGCATCAACGAACGAGACTGGGGGTGTGAGGGCATGGGAGCAGGGGAGTCGGATGGGCGAGCGGGCACATGGGGCCAGTCCGCAGGTGCGTTTCTCAGCACCTCAACCTCTCACTTTCTGCTCACTACGTGGTTTGCGCGGCATCGCAAACCTTCGCTGTCATTTACACACACGCAACGCGTCATCACTTTGACCTCATGGGCCGACTCATCTCACGAATTGACCGGCACCACACTTGCGCATCTTGGGGTGGATGCGCAAATGGGCGGAGCGCGAGAGCGCATGTGGCAAGCTTCACAGGTGAGTTTTTCACGGTCTGCTCTTCCTCCCGCTGTCCACCGTCTCAACGTATCGTGCCGCGAATTCACTGTCAGATCGTGTACTTCGCGCATCTGGGAATCAGATGCAGGCCTGACGTATACGTTTTGTGGCCATCTCATTGCGCCGATCGCGCACCCTCAACGCCCATTGATCGATTTTCGGCGACCAGACGGACGAAAAAGACTGGCGGCAGGGGGGCATGGGAGCAGGAGAGTCGCATGGACGAGCGGGCAGAGCACCAGGAAGGCCGATGGAGGTATATCTACCGGTGCGTTTCTCAAAGTCTACCTTGCACTATCGGCTCACTCTACACCCTGCGCCGCAGGTGATCAGGACTTCTTGAGCATGCACCTGGACATGCTGCCCGGTGTAACAACGTAAGCCGCTGCTGTCAATGCAGCAGATTGTCATTTTGACCTCACGCGCTAACCCGCCCACATCTTAGGACTCATCCCACGCCGCACTCGCGCATCATTGCCAGCCGACACAACAACGCCCTCTGCGTTCTCGCGGACATCACCGGGATGTGCAGGAAGGGGTCGACGCGTTTTCGGAGCCGATCTCGCGACCTAGCGCGCGCTCTATCGCATTGTGCAGCATAGGGGAGTCCGCCCTCTGTCCTCATTTGACACTAACACCCTAGATTGGGAAGCTCCGATAGGCAATTTCGAGGGTTGCCTCGTTGGAGTCGAGGAGTGGATTGAATGCATTAGGGCCCTAACCATGCGGGTGGAGGGGCGAGGCCCACAGGTGAGTTCTCGACCTCTCCCTCTGACCGGCCGTCCAATCGACATACAGCCCGGCTTAACAACTGAAATCAAATCTCCTTGGTCAGATATTTGCTGCGCAGCATCAACTCATGCATGAGTTGTGGTATTCGGGCCATATCAGATTTGGCCAGCATGATCACCTTACACCAACTAACGCCCAGTCGAAGCGCCATTCAGGGGGATTCCATTGGGGACGAAAATGGGCTCGCGCAAAGGGTAACATGCGGAATTGGATGGGATGGGGTGGCGGGCAGTGAGAATCCGGATAGGGATCAAGTCCATAAGTGAGTTCTCTCTCATAACGTCTGCCATTTTTTGCTCTGCCTACGAACTAAAACATTTCAGCGTCCTTAAAACATCGTGACGGTGCCAACAGCGTGATGCTGAAGGGATCGCGGATGTAGATCACAGACTTGAAGACGTCGTGACGGTGGCGACAGCGTGGCAGTGGGGGGTTTTACTCCGGGGTTTGAGGGAACGGGGAGCCCGAAACGGTGTAGTGGTCGAGATGGTATGGTGCCGCTGTCTCAGCCCCTTCTGCTGATATGCCTAGAGGTCAGATCTATGAGCAGAGATTTCAGCAGTCTCAAAACGTCGTGGTGGTTACAACATGGTGTTACTGGGAAGGATTTAAATATTATTCTTACATGAGTGCGGAAAACGTCGTGACGGTCGAGACAGCAGGGTACTGAGATGTTCAGGCAGGTCTGTAACCTATATCTGAAATACATTATAATGGTAATGACAGCAGAGTACTAGGGGGTTATGATAAATCTAAAGGTCATGTGTTTGAGTAATAGTTACCTTAGTCCAGAAAATGTCGTGATGATGGGGACATGGGGGCATAGATGCGTCAGTACAAAATCTGGAAAGAAAAGGTTTCAACAGTGAAGAAGGCCGGAAGAAATGTTTATGTCTGGGTTGAATGCTAATCCTGAGACTGTCGTGACGATCGAAACAGGGTAATATAGCACGGCTTATCTATATGTGTAATTCAGATTGTGAAAAGATCTTGACGGCGGAGACATGGTGGTGCAGGGGATTTATAATGGAATTTCAGCTGAAATCTGAAAACATCTGGACGGCCAAGACAGGTTGGTAGTGGGGAGTTGAACTAGGTGTATGACCGAAATTGTGAAAACATCGGGTTGACCAAGACAGGGTGGTAGTGGAAGGTTGAACCCCGAATTGTGGAAACATCTTGATGCTGGAGACAGGCTGGTAGGGCAATGTTGATCTGTTGATAGATTGCTAGGCCGAAAATTGTCAAGCTCAAGTCAATAAGAGATAGAATTGAAATCTTGGAAAAATATCAGGTGATGTGTTGGGATGCAAGAACGGTAAAGTCGGGGGACAGAAACAGGTGCGGGAAACTGGGACCAAGCTCACCGTCTGCGAGTTAGGTACTGTATCCAGTCCAAATTGGGGAAAGGGACTGGCCCGGAACATCAGTTGAAGAAATCGCGCGAAATTGAAGGCGGACAGATTATGGAACCGGCGCAAGTGTTTGAGGGTAACAGGGTGGATCAGGAACACAAACAGTGGAAAACGAGCGACTGTGACAAGGGACAGGGACAGACGGGGACAAATAAAGGCGAGTGACATACTGTACTTGCTGTGACCAACTGGATGCATCGGTGGCACAAACAGGGCGTTTTCTGACCAAATCTGACCGAGGTTTTCGCGGGAAGTGACGATCGAGGGAGACTGTCACGTGTCCAGGTTATCTGGGGTTAGGGTTAGGGTTAGGGTTAGGGTTAGG